AATTAGGCATCAATACAGTACAATACAATTGATAAGAAGGTGTATCATACTAATACACACAACTTGTGGGATACATATACTCAGTTGTGGCTTATCTTGTATCCATGACCAATCTTTCCTTTTTGACTAAGCAAACCTGTTGGGAGCCATAAAAGAATTTGAAATGATAGGAAGAAGAAGTTGGAGTAATTGATTTTAGACTTTGTCCAAACCTTTCTTTCTTGACTAAGCAACCCTCCTTTTTTGAATGAGCAAAATTGGGCAAATCTTTTCTTGAGATGTTTTGGACTTTTCAAAGTTTGAAGCCTAAAATTTAGTCCTTTTCCATTTGATAATGAAAGATGAGAAGTTGCAAAGGCTCATGCCACATAATTCTTGTGAAGCCCAAAATAGCCAAAAAAAAGGGGGGGGGGGGGGGAAACATGTCTTTCCATGCATAAAATCTTTTGTTTAATGGCCAAGTGGATCAGGATACTTACCAAATGGCTGTGGTCTTGAGAGACAAGTTCCAAAAGCCCTAATAGACCATAGTAGACCTAGTTGCTCATATCAATGTTTTAAAAAAAGACCTGGAATTCAAACCGTTTTGGCCACCAGTTTTCGGGTTGATGGTTTGATTATCAAGATCGAATAAACAACCTGTTCTGACAAAAAATTAAAATAAAAATGACAAAAAAATATTAAATGGATTGACGGTTTGATTGCCCAAGTCGAATGAATCGTTGACTAATTCAACGGTTTTTGACTAGGTGATATTCAAGCTCAAAATTATCATTATGTTAAAGAGTTTTAGAAATGCAATTTTAAGAGACGAACCCACATATATTCATCTTACAAATAGATCAATACTCTAAATTGTAAAGCTAAACTGGCTATATATAAGGCATAAACAAAATCAAAGATACACATAAATAATAAAGATGTTTATCATATAATTTTTATTATATTTTAATTAAATTTAAAAACATATGAATTCAATATAAAATTATGTTTCGATACTGGTTGATTTTATGTATCTTCATCTCCCATGTCCTAATACCAGAGATTGATAATGTAATATTTAGCACTGGTTCTCTCTCTCTCTTTCTTTCTTTCTCTCCTTTTGAAACTAGTAGAATTCAACTCAATATTGTCATCTTTAACCATTGTATACATTATTATCCTTAAATGTCCATCAATGACAAGGCAACAACTAAAATAAATTTTCTAAAGCTTTTTTTTTAAGATAAAATAAAAAATTATAGAAGAACAAAGACAGAACCTTCCTCACAACCTCACTCTCACCCCTAAAACACCAGCCCACAAACCGATATAGCTACATCCCACCTCATATTGGGAACATCTTCCCATGAATAATAAATTTAAAAATGGGAAATGTTTTCAATGTACGAACAGAATATGCTATGAGGTCGGTGTGAGGCATGCAGTGTGAGGATTAAATTTGGACTCCTTTTTAAAGACCCCATCTGCATTGACTGAGCTCAGTCGACGATAAATATGCACTATCCTTTTCAACTTCCTACTTTTTGACAAATCCCCATGGTTGAACTCTTCAACAGCTTCATCCAGAGAAACATTGCCATCTACTTGTCCTTAGCTACATTAGGGGTGCAAATCAACAACGAGTAGTCCAAGAAACCATTAGTCATGGAATCTAACAGTCAGTTGGATCATCAGCCAAGCATAGTCCCTGAAATCCTCCACTTCGGTCTTAATTAATAGAAAATCAATGCATTAATTATAAATTATTTCATTGAAATGAAGAAAATAAAAAAAGACTAAGGAATTAATATTTATATCTTTAGTGGTTAATCCAATGATTATCCACAACCCAACCAGATCCAACCCATTTAAATTGACCCAATGGGTGATCAATCCATTTCCAACCCGCCAAGTAAATGGGCAGGTTGGGTGGGTTAGGTGAAAAATTGCCACCCATATGTATCAAGTTGGATAGATGCAGCCTAACTTTCTACCAATGACCTAGTAGCTAAATGGTCGGTATCCACCTTATGGATCAAACCCTGAATTGTAGGCTCACCATGGTAAAGTTAGTGGACCTACTGCACCTGGTCCAACCCTACCTCTTAATTAAACCCTCATTTTCCATTGCCATTGTATATTATTGTTAATTATTCATCTGTGTTTGGTTGCAATGCAATTTTATTTGCATTAATACAAATGCATGGAAATGCAAATTATTGTTTAATTTTATTTTGGGTTTTACTTTATTCTATTTCATGTCTTAATTTACTTCATTTGTACTACAGTCAAACAAAGTAAGTTAAAATTTGAAACAAAAATAGATTAGAATTTACACATGAATTATTTGCACTGCCATATTTTGATTAGTGCATATTTATTTGCATTGCAACCAAACACAGCCTTAAGGAAACAAACAAAGCATGTATACTGGGCTCGGCAACCCAGAGCTACCTTAGCTGCAAAACATACAAGCCAAAAACTAAAAATCATGGTTTTCAAAATCGATGTAGAAATAGAACCGCTTTGACCACTGGTTTTTAGGTCAAATGGTTGGACCATCTGATATGAACCCATCAGATGGTTTTGGAAACCCGGTGACATAACCAGCTCTCCGGCCAACCGGTCTGGACCGATTTTCAAAACCATGCTAAAAATCCCATAGAAGGTCCTCAGACCAAAATCCCATGACAAACCGGGCCGAGGCCCTTTAGAAGAAACCAACCAAAAACCAAACCCATGCCAAAACATTGCAAAAAAAGAAGAAAACAGATAAATAGGGCTGTGTTTGGTTTGAAAGAAAAGGCAGGGAAAGGTATACAGGATTCCCTACTTTTCCCTTTATAATCCCTACTATTTCTTTCAAACCAAACACGGCCTAAATACAAAACATTGTTTGCTATAATGAATTATATAGCACAGTACTACCAACCATGGTCCAAACTATGAATGTATACAATCATCTAAAACCAGTTAGGCTCCTTTTTATTTTTATTTTTTTCAATTACAATAATTCAAGGATAGATATAATTAATTAGGAGGTTTTCTAACATTGAAATCCCTTAAATCATTTCAAGAGTTTTAGGGATCCTGAAAATTGAAATTTAGGGATACTTTAAGCCATGCTATCAAGGACACTTCATGGAACATGACATGCAAGCAGATACTCAATTTTCTTTTTCTTTTTTTTTTAGTTTAGTTTAAAGATATTGACTGATGTATCTTTAATTATTTTTCAACAAAATTTATGATGTATCTGTACCATATACAACAAAAGACATGATTTGATTGAACACGATTGGTTGAGATCTGAATTTAAAAAGAAGCCAAGATTAGTAAATGCACCAGGCCAGAGTTGAACTCTTTATCTCCCATGTGAATACCAGAGATTATCACGATTCTCATATGGGCTGCTAATGTTTTCATCCAACTCTCTCTCTCTCTCAGTGTCAACTTTATGCTTTAGATAAAGTTAGGTTCCACCATATTATCATACTATTTTTTCAAACCTTACATTAAATGACCATCAATGACAAAGAAACAAGTGGATTAAATGCTCAAAGTAATTATTTCTACGTTTTAATTTTCTTTTTCTAAAGCATTGAAGTCATTGGCTAAACCCTATATGATGGATTGAACGGAATGAGCCAGAGGGCTATTATTAAAAGAAGAAGTCACTAGTCCGAGAAAAACAATGGATAATTCCTAGGATCTGAGTTCATCCATCTCAGCTCAATCTATTCAAATTGACTGAATTTTCTTGTCATGTAACACACCAACTCATCCTAACTAACCAATTGCAAAATTCACAATCTAGAGCAACATGGCTTTTGCATTTTCTATTAATTTTTTAAATGTATATAACTAAAAAGGTTTTTTTGTCGATGGAGTAGGTAAATTTTCCATATTTGTCACATGGACAGTAGACCTGTTCATGGGCCAGGTAGCCTTACGAGCCAACCCGGTCCAGATCGATCTAAGTTGCGCTTGAATATTATTTTAGGCCTACAGGTTTGGACTCAGGATTTCTCCAAAAAGCCTGGCCCAAGCCAAGCCCAACTTGATAATATATTATATGATAAAAAACATATTTTATTTAATAAAAATATGTATATAGAATATTTTTTCTCTTTGTTTCTTCTCTTTTTTCAAGTAATAGTGAGATCTTTTATTATTTTTGAATTCCGGGGGCTTTTACTATAAATAAAACACTTTTTATCGAATAAAAAAGAAAAAAAATATATGTTTTCAAATTTATAACGGGGTTCAGGCTCAAGAGTTAGGCCCGATGGTCAGGCTTGGGCCTGAATATATTCTATTGATACATAAACAAAGCCCAGCCCGACCCATTAACAGGTCTAATAGACAGATATCTGAACCACTTTTGGATAGAAACCCCCTCTGAATTGGTTAATTAGGTGTAAGGTGGTCAATCCTTCTTCCACAGAAGCCCTAAATATAAGCTTATATTAATAGCTTCCCAGCAATACTTGTTATTAAAAATTAATAGTTTTTAAAATATATTATGGTTTATTATTGACAAATGGCAATTGTTTGGGAGCTAAATTTTTCCCCACAAATAGATGTCAACAAAACACTAACCCTTTTAGACTAGTAACCAAATTGCCACGTGGAAAATTGTTAGAGGGAAGTTCATTGAACAACCAGACAATCAGACTCGCTCCATCTATATTTATTACTTCATGGGCTCTCGAGTCGGCCCACAATATACTTAGCCTGGTGGATATCTGAGTCAATACCATGCTTGATAATTCACACATCCTTCAGACTGCACCCCACTGTGAGAAGTGGGGTACAAGTGTTGGACCATCGTTCGCTGGTCTAAGTTCAATGCTTGCAGCTGGGGTGCCATAGAAGTATTCAAAAAGTCAAAATCTTCTGGTTAAAAAAAGAAAAAGAAAAAGAAAGAAAAAGAAAAAGAAAAAGAATGAAGCTTCACCTAGGTTGCTTCTCATGTTGTTTCCCTCTATAAATAGCTAGCTAGGGGTTAGTCTCTTGTGCAAAACAGAGATCTAACTTTTACAGTTTCTCTCTTGTGAACTTAAAACTGGAGAAAATGTCTTCATCTTGCTTCATAATAACTGCTCTCTTCTTGGTGTCAATGTTCATGAAATCCAACAGTCAGTTGGATCCTAGGTTTTATGATAGTACGTGCCCTAATGTGTTTAACATTGTCCAACAAGTCATTAGCCAAGCATTGCAGACCGATCCTCGAATCGGGGCCAGCCTCATTCGACTTCATTTTCACGATTGCTTTGTTAATGTAAGTTATATCTTCTCTTTTGTGGAGTTTCAGCTTAAATGGAGGACTATCTAGGTTAATAGTTTTCATGAGTCATCATCTTCTTAATTGAACCTTGCTCCAAATTCTGTGTTCAGTGCAATATCCATTGTTAAATTCTGAATGCTTGAATTATTTCTCTCTACTTCAACCCATGTTCTTTTTGGTCTATTTCTTCAACCAGTAGGTGGTGTTTTCAATATTAAAGACACCACTACTCCCATTTACACAACTTCTTCCAACAGCCAGAAAGAATTTCAGAGATGAGACAAACAGAAAAGAAAACCCAACTCCTCCCTCCATTAATTAATCCTCCTTGCTTCTGTTGTTGCCGTTTCTCTTAGGGCTGCGATGGTTCCATTCTGCTGGACAACACGGATACCATACAAAGCGAGAAAGAAGCACTCCCCAACAATAACTCAGCCAGGGGCTACGACGTCGTCGACAGCATCAAGTCTTCTTTGGAAAACGCTTGTCCAGGTGTTGTCTCCTGCGCAGATATTCTCGCCCTTGCAGCTGAAATTTCTGTTAAACTGGTAATATATATGTTCATCCTTCTTTCCTTCTTCCGATTAATTTATATAATTAATTACTACGCACTAACAGTACTGGCATCAACCTATAACAGGCAGGAGGACCCTCATGGTGTGTTCCACTTGGAAGAAATGACAGTAGAACGGCAAACCGAACTGGAGCCAACAACAATCTTCCAGGCCCCTCTGAAAACCTAACCACTCTTAAGTCCAAATTCTCAGCTTTCAACCTTAGCACCACTGATCTGGTCGCCTTATCCGGTAATTAACCATTTCTGATCAGTTGATCAATCAACGAGTTTAATTTGGGATAGATAAGTCACAGAGATTTTAACTAATGAATGCCTTTTCTGTGTTTGTTTCGATATTCTGATCATCAGGTGCCCACACATTCGGACGGTCTCAATGCAGAAATTTCATCGATCGTCTATACAATTTTAGTGGTACGGGGATTCCAGACCCGACGCTGAACCAATCTTACTTGGAAACTCTCCGGCAGATATGCCCTCAGAACGGCAACCAGAGTGTACTGACCAATCTCGACCCAACCACTCCTGATGTGTTCGATAGAAACTATTTCTCAAACCTTCAAGTCAACCGAGGCCTACTCCAAAGTGATCAAGAGTTGTTTTCGTCCAATGACACAGAAATAATCGACCTGGTTAACAAGTTCAGCAGTAACCAAACCGCTTTCTTTGAGATCTTCATACAGTCCATGATAAAAATGGGTAATATCCCGGCGACAGGCAGCGATCTAGAGATCAGACTTGACTGTAAGAAGGTTAACAGAGACTCGTCGTCTGAATCAAACTACGTTCTGGTTAGCTCCAGTTAAATGGATCGGAACTTGTTCAGTCGAAATGCTTTTCAGTGTTGTAATAATAATTTCAAAAATAAGAGGTAAGTTTCTTGGGAAGGATTATTGCCCAAGAAAGAACTGGTTGTATCTGTTTATTTGGTCAGAGGATTGGAGTTGGAAGAAATTCTGTTCAACTTATAAGAGAAGGGAAATCATATTTACATACAACATGTAATAATCCTGTGTAAGACCTCCGTTCTCTCTGTGAATTGTTCAAATTTTTAAACTTGAAAATTGAAAAATAGGGGTCTAGGTGCTCAACTCTAATCCTTACAAGACGGATAGAGATACAGCCTAACTTTTCACGATAATCCAGTAACTAAGGTCAGTTGGCAACCCTCTGTATGTGAAGATGTGGGTGGCAAACCGAATTTATTCCTTCCCACCATTCTCTACCCGCTGTGAATTGCAATCATTCTTCTTGTATTGTGAGATGTGTGGCTGCAGTGTGCCGTGGGTATAGGGTGCAGGTAGAGAAAGTGAGTAGGAAATCCGGGTTCATGTGGGCAGATCCAGGAAACTTTGATCAGTGGGGGCGGATCTGGGTTCATGTGGGCAGATCCAGGAACTTTGATCAGTGGGGGCAGAGTATCCGGTAAGGAGGAAGGGGTGGCAAATGGGTGGGTTGAGTTGGATTGGGTAAGGGTTGAATATCAACCCACCAATCCACCAAGACCCATCATCAATCCTTGTTAAATGGTCACCTATAAATACAAAAATGGGTCGGCATAGCCCATATATCCGAAATAATAATTTTTGAGATAATAATCTCTTTCAAGACAGCCACGTGACAAAAACAAGTCAAGCCAATTCGTATAATCGAAAATGCAAAAATTGTAGATAAATGTAGAAAATAGTAGAAGAAAATTGCAGATTTTTTTTTTAGATTTGGCAAGTATCGATGGAGCTGGTTTTGACCTAACCCATCTTGACCCGCGTGACCCATGCACCCCAACCCATCCTAACCCTAATGGGTACCTTTAACCCAACTCATCCTGACCCTAATGGGTACCCTCGACCCAACCCACATTGATATTTTTCCATTGACCCTAATAGGTTATTCGACCCATATTGACCCACCAATAGATTGTCAGATTGGATAGGTATGGATGGGTTCCAAGGTGGGTGAATTAGGTGGGTCAAATGGGTTGGGGTTAAGATTGTCAACCCTAAGAAGGATGGATATCGAATGAAGAGGAGAAAAATTGTCATCAAGGGATGAAATTGGGCTGTTGACCGATGTGAAATGGCAAAAACACAAAATGACATAAAAACGTAAAAGTTTTTATTTAATTAAATCAAAGAGATTGATGGATGCACCTATATAATATGAGAGAGAGTCATATCTACTAGCATGTGGAAAATATTGTAGAGTTTAAGCCATGGGAGATTCTCCCAAGGGTCGTCAATGGGTCGACATCCAATCTGATGAACCCAAACCCATTGGGCCGGTTCTGGTTGGAAGATTTGGTACGGATGGGTTGGTTCTGATTCCTGTTTTATTGTCCCAACTTTTATCGGTTTGGTATCCATTCTACCTAGTCCCAAACTGATTGTGATCCAACCYGAACCATATATATTAAATGTATAATATTTTTAACAGGTTTATTATGATCGAATCCATAATGAAACTTGATTGTTCTAAGAACCAATTTATTGGATTTAGATCTAAAATTACAGACCTTATAGGGTCTGATTCGATTCCAAATTCTTAATATTTCCTTAACTGATAAATCTGGTTTTCTATCCAAACACAACCCGTTGACAGCCCTAAAAAACCTCAGCCTCTAACTTAATATGACCTGGTGAGGTCTAAATGTCAGATGCCATAAAATGGCTAGTCTTTTTCAAACCCTGCCGAACAATGTTTTTATAATTTTCTTTTCAAACTACCCTCAATCATTTAGCTAATGTATGTATATTATTATCATTTGGATGTCATCCATCAATGACAAAGTAACAACTGAAATAAATGCTCCTAAGTTCTCTTTTTTGTAAGCATTGAAGTCATTAGTTAAAAGAAAAGTAATGGGATGAATCCCACTAGTTTCCCCACTTCTCTTGGCATAGGAAAATGACTCGTGACCACATTCTCCGATGGTAAAGATAACCTACTTTACTAGTGAAAACCATATTTGATAACCTTTTCTATTAGGGAAAGTTATATTTTAAATGTGCTCATTTCTTGTGCCATAAGAAAATGCGTGGCAGTTGGCTATTCACCGGCCACGTGTTCAATCCTCCAATCCACAATATAAATAAAAAATGCAGTTTAATGCACATGCTTCCATCAATGTCGGGATTTGGGGAAGGATAGGTGTATGCAGCCTTATGGCCCTTATCCCTGTACATATAGACATGTTATTTCCAATTCAATCCCCAAGGTTTATGACATAAATCCAAATTCATATTATGTCATTTCCAACTTGAAAATTATAATGGAGTTTGGCATCGGTGTTGGGTAATTTTCTAAGAAAAATGATACTGGATGTGTAGTTGTAAGTACTGTTTTGGAACCGGTACTGCTGTCAATATAGACTGTTTTCTGAAAAAATAACATTGATTTTGTTTGGTATTAGTGCTGGCAGCAACGTTTTCAATATAGTCTCCAATGTCTAAGATGATGTCACATCATTGCACCATTGACAACAATGTACTGTTTTCTCAGAATAATAAAAGTATATTTGAAATTTCAATGTTTCAATTATAGAATAGGGGAGCATTTACATATTTATTTAAAACATGAAGGAAGGTTTTTGAAGAGTAAAAGTATATGGGAGGTTTTATTTATCACAAAGCAAAGTATAGGGGAGGTTTAAGTGATGTCATTATTATGACATATTTGAAGATGCCACGGATTCTAGAAGGATTCAAAAGAATAGGAAGCCAAAAGAGAAGGAAACTTCCCATGATTCCCAAGGAGAAGACAACGGTCTTGTAGGATAATATGTACTACTGCCTTCTTTTCCTTCTTTTGGGTGGCTACCACTTATCCGACTGGGATTAGACCATTCTATTTCAATTTGACCGGCAGAACAATTGTCATAACACGAGCATCATAGTATTGAATTAAATTAAAGCTTACAATATGAATGCATGTTTGAAATGTTACAGCTATGTCAAATAGGGATGGCAATTTTCTCCATTTTCGGAGATTCAATTTCCTCGATCCGATTTGATGGGGTCGGGAATGGGAATTGTTTTGGCGGGGCGGGGACAAAAATAAGGATTAATAGGAATTCCCGATTGGGGTTGGGGTCAGGGGATGGGGATTGAGGTTCCTACTCCACCCCAACCCCAATATATATTATTATGTTATTTTTATATATCAAAATATATTCAAAACATTATTTATAATTTAAGTTTTTTATTTATTTTAAATAAATCTATTTTTAAAAAAACTACTGTTATCTAAAAATATTTCGGGGATTTGGGTTCCCATAGGGAACCCATCCCCGTTAAGAGTCGGGGATGGAGAATACATTTTATCCCCGACAGGAATTGGGGACGGGAATGAATGTTAATTTCAGAATCAGTATAAAGGACGGGAAATATGATCCCTATCCCGAATCCACCCTGTTGCCATTCCTAATGCCACAGTATTTAAAGAGATGTTACTTTCATTGTAAATGTAATCAATAAAGATTTTTGCAAGTAAAGCATGTTTGAAATGATGTAATGTCCCATTTTAATCTATAATCATAAATATTAAAAATAATATATAAGTGGGTTCCTTTTAGAATTTTTATCTTTTAAGAGAAAAATATATAATAAGTGGATCCTACTTGAAATTCTAAGTGGGTCCCTCTCTTTCTTCTTTCTCTTGCTTTCATCTGTCTTCGTCTGCCGCTACAACCCAAAACTAACAGTTCCAATTCATATTCAGCGTTGAAATACTTCTCCCCCTCCCTTGGTCATACGATGTGGCCCTTGAAACGTAAAGAGCAATTCTAGTTTTGATCATGCTTGGGCATGGAACCGGAGCCACAAGCACTCGGAATAACAGGTCCACATGATGAACAAGTGTTAACCGTGGTTCCAGTAACCCAATAAATGACCTAGCTCAGTTAAACAGGATTAATTATTCATCCATAATAGGCGTATAAATCTGGTCCAAGATCACAAAGGGAATTTGATTAAGCTAAAACAATGGCTTTTTACTTTCTGTCGATATTAATTTTCAGACGAAATCCCAGACTTGACTTGAACCAGTACTTAGTATATACAGGAACACACTTTTCAAAACCAGACTGGATTGGACGGTCAGACCGGAAAAACTGGGAATTGGTCATTTGACCGGTTTCGTTTTCTTCCAAAACCGTTTTTTTCCTCAAAATTATTGATTTTGATGAATAAATCGCTAAACCGGTTGGTTAACCGTTCGAACAGTTTAGACCGTTTTCCAAATTTTTTATTTTTATCATTCAGATCGAACGGTCGAACCATTTGAACCGGTAACCGGACCCTGACCAATTCGGTCACCGGTTCATTTTTAAAAACCATGTACAAGAATGAAGAACAATGAGAAGGACATAAACCTTAGTATCCTTCGCAATATTGACATAGTTTCTGTATCCGTAAAAAATTGAAGACAAAGATCTTAAGAATGGGGAGTACCACCTCGCCTTCTTATCTTTGCTCATCTTCCTTGTTTATTATAATTATATCATCCTTGGAATGAAAAAATCAACACTAAATCTCGCAACACTCTGTGAACGTTTTGATTAATTGAATGATTAATGATGTAATCGTTTTTGGTTACGTACCATTTTTTGTGATGTATAAATTTTTTGGCTAAGTACCTCGTTGTTTGACCCGGTGGTGACGTGCCTTGGTGATGAGCTACTTGGTGGCGAACTCCCTGGGGGAGAACTACTTGGTGACGAACTGCATGGTGGTGCTCCCTGGTACTGCCTGATGGCGAACTGCCCGGTGGCGAGCTGCCTGGTGGCGAACTGCCTGGTAGTGCTCCCTGGTGGCGAACTGCCTGATGGCGAACTGCCTGGGGGCGAACTGCCTGGTGGCGAACTGCCTGATGGCGAACTGCCTGGTGGCGAACTCGTCATTTGACTTGCTCCTAGGCGGTTTGCAACTCAGAGGATGGTGGAGCTCCCTGGTGCAGCGCAACCTGACTACCCTCCGCGTGAGGTGATTTTCTCTCCTTTGTA